GAAACAGTGGGGACGCACGTTCTAACCTAACCTAACCTATTCTAATAAATTACCATAATTATTACCAACCAAATTATTAGAATAGGTTAAGTTAGGTTTGAACGTGCGTCCCCACTGTTTCCTTTCTTCTGTTTGCTGGAATCAGAGACGAGCCGCCATTTTACTCACCATAGGTAACATTATCCAATTGTTCTTACTTACTAGTGCAGTCTAAAGATTGGTGACACTTTGAATTTCATAGCAATTGGGTTTTGCGACAAGCACACCTATTTGTGGTACATTTATTTGTGGCAAAGATCTTATTTTCACTTTACCGAGTGCCTAGTAGGTAATGTGCGGACTATCTAGATACTCTGCACATTATCTAGGTAATTTGAGAAATGGAACACCCTACTTAATCTGCAGATTAGCTAGATAATGTACACATTAACGACTTTCGAGCTTTAGCGGTGACATATATATATATACATACAGACAGAACAGATAGACAAACATTCTGTTATATATATAATAGAATGTTTGTCTATTCCTTGTCTCTATTCCCAATACACTTCTAAACCCATTGACCGATCTGGATCAAATTTTTAATGGTTATTCTTTAGATGTACGCTTCCATAAAACCTGGAAATTCCATCCATTTTCTTGACTGTATTTAAAAACTAAATGGGAATTCCGTATTATTTTCCGGAATATTCCTGTTTTATTTCAGATATCAACAATTGAATCATTCTCATAATAAAAAAAAAAACAATTTCGATTAATAACAATTAAATATCGACTTTATCATTCAATATTTAGATTCGTATAAAGAATCATTACTTTATAGACAGGTTTGACCACTATTAGAAAGCAAATACGTCCGAAAAACATTAAATTAAAACTTCAACTTATAATTACCAATATTAATGATTAATAAAATTGACATAAAATTAATAATTTAATATATATATATATATATTGTATATAACGTTAGAAATAAATTATTATCTGAATAGAACTAAGATAAATATAGAAATATAAATAAATTCTTACTTTATGTTACAAGAAGCCATCTTTGTTACGAAGCTGTAAAGATCTGGATGAATTTTTGTTTTGTTTTTTTTTTCCTCCCCTCACTCAGAGCAACAATCAGTTATCAAAAAGCCAATGTTAAACAGCATCTACCAACATCAGGAATTATTTAATACTTTAAAAATGAATGCGTGTCACATGACAAACATGTATGACCTTCGTACAATCCAACCATGTATAACTTTTATGTTAATTTTCCTCTTACAAGTTAGAGAAAGAATAAGATTTTATAATATAAACAAATCTGATATGTATATATATATTTATTTATTTATTTAAATTTTACTTATGTTTAATGTATTGATTTTTTTTTTACCTTTAATTAAAATACTATTCAATAATAAGATAAAAATCTGTAGAAATATAATACTAGATGATAGTAAAAGTAATTGATTTAATCGTTTTTCTATCATTAAAACCTGTCTAAACGGAAAAAAATTCTTCAGAAAGGGGCGATTTCCTGTGTTAAAAAAAAATAATAATAATAAAACCCTGTTCAAAACGGAAACCTGTCAAACCGGAAAGAATATTCGATGATGTGATGTTCCGGTTTACGCAGGTTTTATTTAATAATGTAGAGAGTTCTGTTCATGTGAATATAGGCCTATATATATAAAAGATTATATCATTATTCCCATGTTTCACAAGGATCATGTTATTTACAAGGTTATATGTCATTTTAAGAATTCCATTTAAAAGTTATGAGCTTTGTACCATTAATGCCCTTCGACGTTTATCATAAGTCATGTAAGGTTAAAGTAATTTTAATTATTATAACTATAAATTTTAATTAATAAACCTTGCTACTCTATTTATACTTAACATAAATGCATTTATCATTTGATGCTAGTTCTAGATATATTAGTACTGTAAAAAGTATGGAATGGGAATAAAATGCTAGATTTATAGATACGTTTTTTCCAAATTTTTCCGGTAAAACGGGTCTATATTTCGATAAATTTAAAGATAATCGAACTAGGTTGTAACGTCATTAAAGCAAGGATTTCGATTAGTGTTAAAAACGAAACAACACTTGGGCAATCTGCCAAAAAGAAATTGCATCTTTCTAGATATGTTTTGTGGAAAACTGGCTCCTATTTACATTTTGAACACGTGAAAAAAAACCCGAAATACTCCATCTATTAATGATTGGTGAGGTGCGAACCCACGATCGATGTTAAATAGTTTCATTTACTCACCTACTGTTGTGTCTTTGTATATGGTTCTAAGAGATAGATTTGAGGAATATTGATTAAATTTTTATGTGGTATTTAAATTATAATTAAAAGTGATAGCAATTATGAAGTTGTATAAGTATACAGTAAGAAATTTTATAAGGTATTTCTAGAAAGGTGTAAAAAATACATTGACAATGGAAATAATACATTTGCTTTCTCTTCTTCTTCTTCTTCTTCTTCCTCCTCTTTATTTGTTATTCTAGATCAGTTTCGAATTCTTATTTATTTTTTTTTTTTTCTTCGATTATTTGTGTCACGGTTGTAACAATGGCATCGTTTATTGTTACATTGTGTTGTTATTTATTTCACAGATGTAAGAGATGATGTTACATACATTATGCTACGTTATTTTCTAGCAAAATGCTTTTATAAAAATTATTAAAACTGATGGATAATAAATGAGGTTATACATAAAGTAGATGCTCTTACGAATGTCATAACAGAAGAGAAAAACACATAATTTGTAGAAATATCTACGTCAAAATTAAACTGCATAAACGAATATTTGTTATAACGGTATGATATATTAAATTAAATTTTGAAAAATAAAAAAAACTAGTTATTCAAGGATATGATATTTAATGTTAAATTTTTTTATATTCTGTAAATGCACAGGATGTATTTATATTCTATACAAGTCGACCCGCCTATAACACTGTTGATTATTCTATTTTATATGAATTCAATGTTATACGAGTCACTTAGATTTTACAAATATGTGAGCCGTTCACAGCCCGGCACATCTATTTGTAAAATCTAAGTGACTCGTACAACATGGAATTCATATAAAACGGAATAATCGACAGTGTTATAGGGGGGGTCGACTGTACTCGAAATTGTATTAAATTATATTGATGGATTAAGGAAACACGATTCATGGGAGCTTAAACAAGAGGGGTGCCAACCGGGTACAACTTTATACGGGAAAATTGGTCCCTATTATTTACTTTACCATCCGATCTTAGTTTGTCTACATGATAATAACATAATTTACCATACATAACCTATGTACTGTACATATATACATTTCAAAATTTCAGAAATCATTTTTAATATAAAAACATCATTCATTATCTTCATTCAAAGGATTTTAAACTACAATAAAATTCCACCATATTACGGTTTCAGGTTTACGCTATTGGAAACTTGAATAAAAAAGTACTTAAAATGAGAATTTGTATTGTTAATTGTACGCCATTTTAAGTTTCGCATTCTCGTTCTGGGAAAGCGTTAACGTACTGTACTTCATTTTCTGTGTTTTGCACTAAATACCAGTATATTGATTTATTTATTATTACATTTAATAGTTTGTATAATTAAGTATTAATAAGTGTGTTATTAATTTATATAGAATAAATATTAAAATATCGGAATATATTGAAAAAAAAAAAACGTATACATTCTTTTCATTAATAAAATACTAAATAGATTACTTACTTAACATCACTTCAAATCATTTTAAAATATATCTATGTTTTTAATGTTCTATAAAAACTGACTTGTTAACTATTGTAACCAGACTTGCAACTTTTCCGGTAGTAATATTTCTTTTTTCTGGAATATAAAATGAATGTTTTGTCTATGGGTTACACTATAAGATCACAAGGAATCTTTTGTTCTTGTCAATATTATTGAGAAAAAAAATCACTTTTAAAAGGTTAACAATAATGAATGTTTTTTATATTCATGACCTACCTTTGATATCGTGATTTTCTAATATTATTTCATTATATCGAGAGAGCTAATAGAAATAATTATTTATTGTTTGGGTAATTAAAATTTTAATAGATATTTTTTAATTCCTGTGTTATTCCATTACAAAGAGCAGTTTATTATTTTTTATTTACATTCCATACCCTTCTATTTTTTACATATAACATAAGTGAAAACAATTGTCCATTAACTTAAGCAAAATAAGGTACTATAATGCATTACCTGGAGTGCCAGCAGACACAATTGTATTATATAATTTATCCCCTTAACGCCTATTGCTATACACACAAAGATTTTAGAAAGCTGTATAATAAATTATCTCGAAAATAAACAATAATGTATATTAATATATAAACTAATTTTTAAAATTACATGTTAAGTACTGTACTTACATATAATCGACTATAGTATAGATGGTGTGTAAAGTCTGGTTCGTTAATTATTACAACAAGGAAAATCTGCAGCTGTATTAGTAATATCTAGATCATATAATAAATATATCGCTAGACTGCTGTAAAATATTAAATACTTATCAATTGTATTAAACAACTAAATATATTTTATACAAATAGAATGTGTATTAAAAAAATTGAAATATTTTTTTTTTAAATATTTATAAAAAAATATATATATTAAATTACTTCTACATGGTAGGCAATTAATCACGTCGGTAATTTGGACTTTTGCCCAATTTATCAAGGAGTGTTTACATTTCTTTACATTTTCCGCCTTTACTGAATTTAAATGATCTGCTTTGTAATAGCAATTTCATTATTTTTAATTACATAAATAACATTTAAACATAGAAAATGTTTGTATGAAATTATAGATAAACTCTCCTATTTAATAACACAGAGCATTTTCGTGAGTCAAAACTATAAATGGAGGGGTCCTTTAATTCAAATTTGCCTGGGCCCCGTGAAGTTATAACCTGCCACTGATACACCATGAAGAATTTTTTGTTTTAATTATATAATTCAGCCGTTTTTAATCAGTGGTACACGTACCGCCGAGGTGTACCGAGAAGTATTCTTTAGTGTTTCAAGTCTACACAGAAAGCTCGTGTGGTACGCGAGTGAAAAAAGGTTGAGAACAGCTGGCAAACTTATGCATAAATATATATAAGGATTTACATTTCACTTATTATTATTATTATTATTTATTAATAATAATAACTGAGAAATTAAAAATTAAACATATACAAGTTTATAAATGAGTTAAGCAGATGATTTAAATTCGGTACAGAAAATGTAAAGAAATGTGAACCTTGATAAAATGGGCAAAAATCCAAATTATCGACGTGATTGTATACATATGTAGGAGAAATTTAATATAATTTGTATATAAAAGTAAATAAAAATAGAACTTAACACAAATATTTTGTAAAAAATATGAATAATTCTACAGAATCATCCAATTCATCGAAGACTTTTGATATTAATTATTCTTCTTCTATTTCTAATTAAAGGTTAGAATCAATTAAAGAGAGTATAATATAATCTCCTTTCAACAATACTAGATATATGATTGGATTGATGAGAACGATATTCCATGATAAACTGCTTACTATTTGGTTGTAATACAAGTAAAAATTACACAGAAAATTCCTCTTTGTGTCTACGCAATTCGACCCCTTTCATACATCGGGATTGAATAATAGACTATATTCTGAGGGAGAGTAAACCTTTATTATGAGGGTTAGGTTAGTTTTGGTTTCATTCTGCCGAGGGAAATGCCTCCCGGGGTCTTTTTATGGGAAACTGTCCCCCATTTAGGTGTTACAAACGTGAAGAAAACCCGGAAAACCCCACATGGTCAGGCGTGAACCTATGACATTTGCCAGTGTTCGGTAGCTTTATCTATTCGGGTACTGGTAATCTAAGGAACTATTCTGCTCCTTAGACTAGTCACATTATAAAATAAAAGAAATTTATAATAAATTTTGCATTTTTATTATACTCGAATCTGGTATAAACAGTCTTTAGATACGCGTACAGAATGTTACATATGTTTTAGAAGTTTTTTAATATTGTTTTTTATAATGAATTGTATTGTCGAACAGCGTGACATTCATACAGCTGTTCAGTAATCCATGATATTGACGTAGACGGATCATTTGTTTGTAGAACATAAAATAAAAATGACGTAAACAGACTTTCGATTCTAGGATATTCAGTCATATGATTACGTTATTAATTGTTTTTTCCTTCTAAAAGAACTTATAATCTTTTATGTGAGTTTTTCTTTATGTCGACGAATTGTATTCTCTAATTATCATTTCTATTATATTCTTTTAAATTATATAATGATATCTCGTGATTATTATGTAATTTTTTCTTTTGTCTTTTTTTCATTGAGAAATATATCTGATTCTATAAATCAAAAAACATATATTCTTAATAAACGAACTTCCCAACTGGTAGTCCGAGATCACAATTCATAATATAGAATTATACTGTATTCATATAAAATGTCAAGGTCTATCATTGTATAGAAATGGAATAAATCAGCTTTAAAAGTTTCTTATGATATAAAAATTTATCACTTTATTACAACACTAGTAACTTCGTATAGATCTTTCCTTATTTTATAGTCATTTTGGTAATTTTCAACATAATGGATATTGTTATCAATGATCACAAGATAAATTTTACAATAAAAATGACATTACTATATAATTTTGATGTATTACAAGATCGTTACGATGCTGTGACTGGTATTGTTACTGTTAGTTACGCAGTAGAGTATGAGAAATAGTGTCATGGTTTCTAAAACTAGAACGTAGATGAAGGTTTTTATTTGTACAATTACTGTAATATTTATAGATTAACATCGTAAAATGATGTCTTAGTTACATATATTAGGAAATTTTTGAAGATAATCGAGTGATTTCCTTAAAATATAAGTATAACTTAACTATAAAACAATAGATTATTTTTATTATCAAATCGATTTTGTGTTGAAAAGGAGGAAAAGTTCAAATAATAATATATAAAAACTAGGTTGAATCGATGGAATCAGTGCCGAGTTATCCAATGGGCAATAAGGGCAATCGTTTGGGGGGTCCCAAACCAATCTTTTATAAACTCATTACTATAGAAATTTAAATCTGGACCATATCTGGGGTCCCAGATTGCAGGCAGAGGCAGTGTAAAACTTAAGACAAATCAATACAATTGCTAAAGGAAGTGTATCTTTTATGGTAAATTGGTCCACTAACGATTATCTATTACGTGTTTTTCGTCCCATAGTCTAGACTCTGGAGGATCCCATGAATATATATACGTAAGAATACGTGATGAAACACTCAATAACTCAATCACTTTTACTATTATATATTAGATCCCAGGGAGGAGACAAGTGTCCCGTTTGCCCCCATCTGCGGACGCCCATAACTGATAGCATTTTGTAAATAAATTAGGTATAAATAAACTGTTTGTCAGTATGCTATCTTAATATAGATTATAATCAGACATAGTATAATACATAGGATAATGTAGTATTACTCAACCGGTGTGTCAAAACTTCTATACAGTTGCTACAAAACTTTAAAAAAATGCTAATTTTAAATATTATTTTGTGTATTTATATATAGAAATTTTAGATTTTTAACATCGTATTTCATGTTTTTACGACAGACATATTGATACAATTCTTAACCTTATCAGTAACGGATGTTAAGTAGTCATTAAGGTATTTTTATATACAGTAAATTACCATACTTTTCCTTAAAATAATACAATTGCTTTCTTATCGTATATCATTTAAATTAGGTTATAATTATTTTAAGACATTAAACGCATGTATAAGAATTTCAACAGATATTTATAAATATTATATATTGTTTAAAGACACTAAAAGTGCCCTTTTTCCATACTCTATAGTGTATTCGTCAAGGCCTACAATGGGGAGGACATATGATTATAAGATTATAGATATATCAAACTATAATATAATGAAATAATTAAATTAAATAGAACACAAATTTACTTCAAAGTTATTTAAAGTCGTCCACATACTATTTATTGTATATGTACTACTTATTTTTAAAGGTGAAAGTCAAGTTTTTAGGTCAGAAAACTGAATATTTATTATAGATTTATATACATATATATAGTAAAAGACTATGTTAGTAACGATTACAAACATTTCTAACACTTAGTAGGTCACTGGGATAATGAAAATAAGTTCATTTCGAATTATTTATTTATTTTTTTTGCAAACTTACAGAGTATTTTAACACCAGCCACGTTATAAATAACATTTAAAGTTACGCTTCCATCCTACCAATGCTTTCATGTAAATGACTCTAGTGTAATAAGTAGTCATTACTAACAAATGATCGTTATACATGTCAAAAAAACACGTAAAAATACAATTTTAATGGTTTCTTCCTCGATATAACATCATAAAAAGTAGGCCTATACCTCATTAGTTTCTTAACTAAAAATTAAAAAAGAGAGAGACAGAGAGAGGAGGAACAACGTAACTATTTTTATAACTTAAAAAAATCAATTTAAATTTTAAAAATAAGTAATCAGTAAATTTACTTTTTAAATTTCAATACAAGCCTGTGTTTCCTGGTTAGTATAATAATGAATAGACGATTTAATCAGTTGACATTATCTTAAAATCTTTTCAAAACAAATTTATCTAATTTATTCCTTATTGTTCATTATAATATTCGTATATTTTATATCATATCAATGGATCAAATAGGAGGAAAAAACGAGGAAATACTAATGTAAAAAATACACTAGTGACTCG